AAACCTCCCGAAACTGCTAATCAGCCAGTGCCCCAACCGGTTCCTGCATTGAATATTCCCAAGCCATCGGAACAGTCAGCTGAAAAACGTATTCAAACGAGGTTTGAACGAATTGTCAACAAGCCTGCAAGATTTACTGTATGAGTAAATCTAAATTCTCACCAAAATTTATATTTTGTTAAATATTTAGAATTAGAATGATAGTTATTTAATTGAACAATTATATTTGACATTGGAATTGACATTATAGGTATTGACATAAAAGGAACAATTGAATTAAAGACGCTTTAGTTTAAGTTAAAAGGGGAGATGTAGTGTTACTATATTATTATGTTATGAAATATTATGTTGTAACGAGCGCGGGCTCACATGTGTGTTTATTATATATAAGCTTCGTATGTTCTTGTTGAATTTTTCCTATGTTACTGTTCTTGTTGAATATATCTTACTGTTCTTGTTGAATATGTCCTAGGAGACCAAGTCGTCTCTGGATAGCAACTTGCTGAAAAAATTCGTATCCGTCACTCGAAATGTTCCTCTCCTCGCCCTATCCCTTCCCCTGATAGCCTATCACAAAGCGATTACACTGCTATTCCAACCGAGCACATCATTAAGGGAGAAGACATATATTATAAACTATCTTCAATATCATCTTCGAAACCTGTTGGCCCAGATGAAATACCGAATTGGGATCTAAAATATTATGCGCACCTATTGTCTCCTCCTGTTACTTCAATCTTCAACGCCTCCCTTCAACAGGCGTCTGTTCCCACAGCATGGAAAAAAGCCGACGTCATCCCTGTCCCTAAAAATAAGGCGCCGAGTGACATTACTAAAGACTTGCGCCCCGTCTCGCTTATTGTCACTTTGTAAAAAACGTGTGAACGTTTTGTTGCAGACTGGCTGATGGAGTCGATTAGTGGGAAGATTGATAAACGACAATTTGGATCTCTAACACATGCATTATTGAGCCTTATCCATCACCTAATAAACGAAACTGATGCGTCCAAAAACGCTGTGAGAATTTTTTTCTTGGACTTCTCCAAAGTTTTTGATCATATTGATCATAACATCCTCCTCAGTAAATTATCTGACAAGGATGTTCCATCAATCATAACAAACTGGATAAGAAGTTTTCTTACTCGACGAAGCCAACTGGTCAAAATGCCCCATTGTGTGTCAGCATGGCAAATCGTCAACGGTGGAGTACCCCAGGGAACTGTTTTAGGCCCAATCATCTTCCTAATCATGATAATGGTCTTCTCGCCGATTGGAAGAACCGATGGAAATACGTTGACAATACCACTACTACTACTGAAACCATTGGCCAAGATTGTAACAGCAATCTTCAAGATCTGGTTATTTACATCGATAATTGGACTACGAGTAATAATATGAAACTAAACATCGGAAAATGCAAAGAGCTGGTTATTGATTTTGCAAAAAAGAAGCATTGCTTTCCTCCTTTAACAGTGGATGGAGTTAATATTGAACGAGTGAAATCTGCCAGTATCCTTGGCCTCACAGTTCAAGACAACATGAAGTGGAATGAACATATACACAACATAGTTAAAAAAGCTAGCAAGAGGCTTTATGTGCTGAGGCTGCTGAAAAGGTCCAACGCGCGTGTAGACACATTGATTGCTGTATGTACTGCTATAATTAGACCTGTTTTGGAGTACAGTCTGGCATTACAATATCCAACAATATTTATGTGAAGATATTGAAAAAATTCAAAAACGTGCATTGAGAATCACCCTTCCATCACAAAAGTATGACGAAGCACTGATCACGACCAATGTCACGTCGCTGAGGGATCGCCAAGAAAAATTATGCGAACATTTCTTTGAGAAGAATATTGACAATGAAAAACTCAAAGATCTTTCACCACAAACAATTTTATCTGGACATGATCTAAGACCAATATGTAAATATCATAATTATGTTTGTAGAACTGAACGTTTTAATAATTCGTTATTGCCTCAAAGTATTTTAAGTACTAGTTAAAACATGAGCAGCCGATCTTTATCTAATATACAACTATATGCAGCCGATCTTTATCTATATACGTTATGTTATGCCTAATTGAAAAAAGGGTGTCTATAAAAAATCTTAAACCTTAAACATTGAGCGCGCAAAGTATGATAGGTAACTTCCTATTTACAGCCTTAAAGTCGGAAAGGTTTTTTTGCAACAATGCTAGGGCATATAAATAATGATGTTAATATTAATGTAAGTAAACTTGACACAAGCCATACCCTAAATTGTGAAACAATTCCAAGCCAAACCCGTCCTTGTTTCCACGCCAAACTCTGATTCGAACCATGAACTTTCCACAGAGGTTCCCCAGCCATTCCTTTCCTATTAATTATTACACCCAGTTCTGTTTGTTGCCCAGTTAGACGGAACCTGAACTGCAGGCATACGCCATAACTGTCTATGACTGTCGAGTATATCTTCCGAGAGAGCAGAGATGCAATGGTAAATGTGCCAGGTTTTGTGTTGTTATCGTAGAGAGAAACTCTGTAGGGATAAGGGTTTGTGTGACTGACATTGTTTCCAAGGGACGAAACATTTCCGCCTAAAATAGAAGAGAAGACCTCACCTTATTTTTGGACCTAAAAGAATTTGACCGCTTAAAACTACACTAACTTTATTTATACTGGATAGCTCCTACGATTATTTACAGTAATACTTACTAACCACAAATATTAAAAGCAATAGATCTGTTGTTAAGGTCTTGAAACTGTCGTCGCCAGCCAGGGCTGTTTTGTTCAGGATCGTTTGCCCAGCCACATAAGCCAGTTTTAAAATCACAGGAACCGTGAGCTAATAATAAACAATTATTATATGAAGAAATTTCATAGGAATATTATCTCATACCACACCATACCATACCATACATTGAACCATACCATACATTATACCATACCATACAATACACATCACTTACATGGTTCGTATTCACAAACAAACTTTATTTTTTCAGCACATCTTCTCACCATCCAACCACTGTCACTGGCAACAACACAGTTATGGTCACCATTATCAAAATCTTCTGTATCAGATCGCGACCAATTACTGTAACCAACCTAGACGATAAGTAATGGCAATTAAGTAGGTAGGTTGATTATGATGGATTTCAGTAAGCATTACAGGACAGCAAATAGTGGTCAACTACGGAAATGGTGATAATTATAGGAGCAAGAAAATTAAAAGTCATCTCTCAATTCTATCTATAGTACGTGTCTCAACTAAGACTACCACATATTATAATGGTGAGAATTAACATTATTTTCGGCCTCTGACAACTGCAGGTTGGCTACCATCAGCTGGCATTAGTCCGTAGGGAAATCTATTTATATGATCTAACCTTAGTCCCATCCGACCACTGATACAAATCCTTGTAATCCAGATCATTCAAGCCAATCCAAACTTCATGTATATCCAAGGATCTCATCATTGAACTTAATATAACATCTTCTTCCTTATTATTAATTGTATTAATGTGACTCGTTTCAATTTCACAAAACGTCTTGGCATCTTGCCATGTCAGTTTTCTAGCTGGGATTTTGTAGCAGCTTGATTCGAAGAGCGAATAACCATATGGGCACCAGGGCTGTTTCTGAACAACATCTTGAAAACAAAACAGATAGTTTGCGAGAACCCCGTCTTTGTGTTAATGGCTACGTTTACACTGTACCGGATTGCTTTCCGCAGCGACGTTATTTCAAAAGAAATTATTACAACAGAGAGATGTTGTTTCGCTCAGCTTCTGACAGTTTTGCATTCCGTATCGGATCATAGATATCTCATCCCCGAGCCGACGGCGCGAAGCGCCGTGCGAGGGTACTAATTCCCCCCCGGCTATTTACACCCGGGGAAACGAAAGCATTAGCGAAGTCTAAAGTTCATCAATCATCGCGGGCGCTGACCAACGAAGGGCGATCTTGAGTGGGTGGTCATCCTTATCTCAAAAATATGGCAAGCAAGATTTCAATTTTAAAAGACATATATTTGGAAAATCGTTTCATATACAACAAGCTTGAAGCAATTTTGTTTGAAGGAATGAGAAGAATTGGTTTACTACGGGAAATCGTGAAATATACGGCAAGTTTGCTTTGAATATTTTTTAAATGTTTACGAATTTTGTTGCTTTAACTTTTACGTAATAAAAAACATGAACTATAGAAGCTCTAAGTTTCATAAATTACAGTTTAATTTGAAAAAAAATCTTAACATGTAAAGGCGAACAAATTGATTTGAAGACTGAACTGAAATTACCTAACAATTTTATTTTATTTGTATTAAACTCATATAGTTTATCGGCAAAATGTAGGTTTACTTGAATGAACATTTCAAAACATTTTACGAAGCGTTTCAAGTTCAATTTTACATTAAATCAAAGCTCACAAAATGCAAAATAATATACCTACAGTATGTATTTCGGAAATTTATTGTTGTATAGTTGAAAGTACGAATCTTTCAACTATTTTGCAGTTTTGTACAAAATAATTATATGAAAATAAAAATTTAAGAATATCGTGTTGTCATGGCAACACTTGAGCGCGAGCCTGCGTTCAGTGCTGGTCATTTCTGAATACTTCATGTTTAATGTATGGAAATATTGGCGAGGGGTTACTGTATGCATGTATTTCTAGTATACATATATATCTCATATATATATAGATAGCGCATCTCACCATGTAGGCAGGTGAAAACTGAAGCCTGATCGCAGTCGCAGTTTACGTGCGGTGGCCATATTGGTCGTTCCCACAAAGCGTGATAATTTGTATATTTTGTAATGCAGAAATGTACAAAGTCTCTTTTATGCAGTCAATTTTGGTTTCTTAAGTAAAGACCCTGTTGTAAATGATACCAGATGGTTGGAGCTTCATCTTGTGAATATAACGGGCAGGCAAATTTTATTTTTTAAATGTCAAGATCTGTTGACCGCTATGAAGGGCGGGTTGCAACCTACAATTTCGAAATTACTCACCACCTGATGATTCCTATACGGATGAAACAGACTGTTGTGGTTTTTTGAGGTAAAACGAATATATATATATATATATATATATATATATATATATATATATATATATATATATATATATGTTTAAAGATTTGTAATCCAGGCATATTATAATTAATTAAAGTTCTCCGGATTGAAATATACTTTTATTGAGCTTTCGACTCGGTACTTCGAGCCTTCTTCAGAATACTGAGATTAAAATTACATATGTACATTACTTAATTAAAGTTTTGCGGTGTTGCTACGTTCCTGTATACGTTGAGACCGTCTAATTGGCTGTTCCACGGTTGATCTGATTTCATCTGTGGTTGAAGAATGCGTTGTCACGGTTGAATGAATTTGGCTGCTAGGGATGGCGTCATTGGAATGTTCGGATTGTTGTGTTGCGGATGTTGAAGGAAGTGTTATTTGGAAGTTAGTATTAGTCATAGTATCGTTGTTATTAGTAGGACATTTACGTGTTGTTTTAAGTTGTAAGTAAACAGTGGGAATTTCAACGTGTCGGTTAATTGTATTACCGTCTATACTGTACCATGCCTCTTTAAATTCACGTGCGTGTTTTGTTTGTGCTCGTCCTAATAGTTCGGTTTCTGTCCAGTTGAAGGTATGGCAGTTGTCGTATGTGTGTGCTGCAGGTAGTGATTTATAATCGTATCGTTTTATGGCGCTTTTGTGTTCAGTTATTCGTGTTTCAATTTTCTTTGAGGTTTGACCTATGTATCGTTGTGGACAGTCTCTGCAAGGTATCATGTATATAGCATTTTTTGTTTGTTTTGATGCAGTTTTGTCTTTGTGTTTTGTGAAATATGACTTAAGTTTATGTGCCGGTTTGTGTGCTACGTCAATGTTGAAAGGTCGCAATAATCTGGCGGTCATTTCAGATGTACTGTTTATGTAAGGTAGAGTTATTCTTGTCTTTGATTGTTCAGGTTGTTCGTCAGGTATGTTACTCTGTTGTTTGTTACGTATTTTTGTTAGTATTTTGTTAACGAAGTTCTTAGGGTAGTTGTTTTTTATGAAAGTCGAGAATAGATATTTGCGTTCAGTTTGTTTAGCTTGTTCTGTGTTACAGTGCGTATCTATTCGGTTGAATAAGCTTCTTATACAGCTTATTTTGTGTTGAGTAGGGTGGTTGCTGTTAAAATTCAGTATTTGGTCAGTGTGTGTTTTCTTACGGTAAACCTGCGTGTTAACCGTGTCAGTTCTTATTAACAAAATGTCAAGGAAAGCAAGTTGGTTGTTATCTTCTTCTTCTTTCGTGAATTTTATATTTTCTGTAGTATTGTTTATAGCACGTAAAATGTCATTAGTCTTGTCTTTCTTAACTGTAGCAAGGACGTCGTCTACGTATCTGTTCCATGTTTTAATATCGTTATTTTTAGTAACGGATCTCTTTTCTAGATCTTGCATGACTGCTTCAGCAAGGAAACTAGAAAGAGGAGATCCCATAGGTGTACCCGAAATTTGTCTGTAGTAAGATTTTTGGAATGAGAATTCAGTGGAAAGACACAGATCAAGTAGTTCAAGAATGTCGTGTTTGTCTAGTTTGGTTCTGGTTTGCCACGATTCATCACAAGTAAGCACTTCGTTCGTGATGCGTTTTGCTGTGTCTAGTGGTATGGAAGTGAAAAGAGAAACGACAGTAGTAATACCCCCCATCTGGAGACCAAAGGGATGCCGCCAATGACGTCACGCTGCTCTGAAAGTAATTAGTATGCAAAATATGTGACGTAACTTTGCTGGCCCTAATCCTAACCCTGGGCCAGGTAGCGCGACCAATTAACGCGGTGGGCCAACTGTGACAGGTAGCGCGACCAATTAACGCGGGCAGGCCTGGGCCAACTGCGGCAGGCGATCGATTAGCATTACAATGCAGTAACATCGCTATAAATACAGCTAGTGTCCTTTCACCTGCATAGTCTGTATTCAACGCTCTTTTTCAGTCGAGATGGAGCAAGCAAAGTGGGAAGAGGTTGTTTCTTCGTGGATGAGTGGTAAATCGTTTGAATTGAGAACAGAATGTGAGAATGGGGTTGGTTTACCTATTGAAAAGGCGAAATGGCAAATTACAGATTTGGAAAACATTTTGATTGAAAAGGGTTTGGTACCGAAATTTGTTCGTGGGGACGATGCCCTGTATGATATATTGCTGCGTCAAATGCAATCACAATTGATTCTGAGTGTTGGTGTTCCTAAACGAGTGCAAGGCCCTACCTTTACATATTTGTCGAACTGTGGGCGGATGCTTGTGGGTGAGATATTTGCAGATATGACAAAAAGGAAGGAAAAATTCGAGAAGAAAACAGGTGTTAGCTTGGACAACTATTACAGATTGGCTGCTAGCGAAGTCGAGAATGGGAAGAAAAGAAAAAGAATGTCTGAGTCGAATGGAAGCAACAAGGCCCTCGGGTGGCCAACACTGGCATCGTGCTCTTCAGTAATCCACTACAATACCAGTACATGATTGAAGAAACAGGAGAGACATTTAATAGTTCTAAATCTAACACTAGGGAGGCCTATGATGAATTTCGTAAATTTGGTTTAACAAATGAACTTGATAAAATAGACCTCTTGTAATAATAATACGTTGCTAGTTAATTAATGTAAATTTGCATATATTTACTGAAATAAATACTGTGTGTCTCATTTGCTGTTCAATTGTTGTGGTGAGGGTATCATGGATAACATAGATATAATTTTTTGATGAGTTGAAACGGAATGAAATTGATATTGATAAGCAAAGCGAGTTACATGTATTCTGTGAAGTTACATGTTACATGTATTCTGTGTACCAGTTAGAAGTTTTGAGGCAGATCATAAGAAAGCTTATCAAGAACTCATGGAGAAAAAACTTATAGAACAGTTTAACAAATAGTTTTAGTTGTAATATTTTTGACACTATCATCTGTTATTTGTATCAATAAACATGTTTTAAGCTTTGCAAATTTGTGTTGTTTATGCGTTGCTAAGTCATTAGGAGGCGTGTAGGTAATTAGGGGGATTAAGGCAATACGAATTTGCATAACTAAGTGTATCTCGATGGATAGATAGGGATTATTTTTAACGCAGGTGTATACCTTAAAATCAGGAGCGTGGCTTTGCGGGTGCATGCATATATTAACGTACAACATATTTGTACACTAATCAGGCGGGCGGATCGCGCGGGCGGAAAGAGCGGGCTTTGCCGGCAAAAATTTACCCAATATTTTAGTTTTTAAATTTATTTCTTCAAAACGTTTT